TATATATATATATATATATATATATATATATATATATACATATATACATCTATATATATGCGTCTCGTCGTCTCTGTTCGATTACATCTCACGGAAGATGGAATGGGGTCGCGTTCCTCCTTCGTCTTCCTTCATTCCTTCTTCGGTTGAACCTGAAAAAACCTCCTTTGCGCACGTGGTGGGTAATTCTCAGGTGAAGATGACAGTTGTCTTCCCCTCAAGTTATAAGGAATATCGTGATGGTACAGGTGACTGCCTATTTATTAAGAATGCAAAAGAATGCAAGCAGGAAAAAAGGAAAAATGGGAAAACAACACTCTTTTTTACGGAGTTACAAATTTTAACCCTGACTGACAAATTCAAGTTTGCTCTTATTAGAAAGTTTCAGTGGGGGCACCCACCTATAGAAGTTATCAGAAAAAGTTTTGATGATGTCAAATTAGCAGGAAACTGGAAAGTGGGGCTCATGGATGGAAGACATGCATTGATTCAATTAACCGTGGCTGAAAACTACATTCGGACTTTTTCCAAAAAATATCTCAGCATTACTGGTAAATCAATGAAGCTACTTAAGTGGTCTATTGATTTTGACCCCAATCATGAATCTCCTACTGTACAGGTATGGTTCAGTCTATCGGGTCTCAAGTTGCACTTTTTTCCTCATCAGACTCTTTACTCTATTGGAACCATACTTGGGGATCCTATGAAGCTAGATCTACCGACTTTCAACCTAATCAGACCTTTTGTGGCCATAATACTGGTGGAAAGAGATTACTTTACCTGATGTTACTGAAGTCTGGTTTGACACAACTCATAATGGATATTGGGCAACAAATTGTCATGGAGCATCGACCGCCTTACTGTTCTCATTGTAAGATGTTTAGGCATACACATAATAAATGCCATAAGTTTCATCCTAATTTGAAATCTAAAGATCAAGTGAATAAGGATGAATCTAATCCCACTACTCTGGACATATCTATTCCATCTGGAGAGAAAGCTACCATATGACAGATTTTGGATATCGCTAAAGTTCAGCCACCTATCATCCCTGCTGAGAAGTGCAAACCGATCATTTACCTAACATTGCAGTTCCTGATGAAGAACATCATACTACAAGTACAGATTCAAAAGTGTTTATATCACTCACTGTTATTGAAGAAAATTAACACTGCCGTTGCCGGTCCCAAGCCCGGATGAGAAAAGTGGAGGGTTGCATTAGGTAGTCGACAGCCAGCGTAAAACTTGTCGAAAAAATCATGACATGAATCCTTTTGATCATTGTGTAAGTGCTAGGGCGTCCCCTGGAAGCGACGCGCTGTATAGCCTGAATACAGTGAAAAGTGTGCAAGGGCCGCTACACCGGCGCCCGGGTGTAGTGTTAAATAAGCAAGGGTTC